AGGCCGGGCTGCAAGGATTCTAGGAGGCACCACAAGCTCAAGTTCTTGCGCTTGCTGCCTTTGGCGAATGCAGTTCGCACCGCTGCACTCACTGCAATTCAGTTCAAGTGATTCTGCATTACGTTTACTCAAATTTGATAGCACGAGTGGCCTACTTTGCCGGATGCGAATCGCGATTCGCTGGTTGGGAGCGGCCATGAGGCAGTTGTTGTGCTGCGATGTGCGGAGCATTCCCGAAAGCCTCAGGCGCATGCATCCACAGAAACAAAGGCTGCATGGAGCGCGCTTTTTGTGTGGGTGTTAAACCCGATATTCGCGCAAGGGTTACAGGGGCTTGACATCGAGGAAAGATCAGGAGGGTATGCACATCTTTACAAGTGCCGCTGCAAAATCTTTACAGTTGTTAAATGTCAATTTGCCAGAAAGGACCCCATATAACCCAAAAAAGTCACTTGCGCACGCATGTTCACAGTACACTGAAAAGACCTCCAACGCAATAGCTGGCTGGCCCAGAAGCCAAACGCGAACCAAAACCTGTCTTGCACCTGATTCTCACACCACTATTGGTATTTTTCCAAAGCCCCGCGAGGTCACTGTCACGGCGACCTCAGTACCTTTCTCAGAATTGCAGACATCGAGTTCTTAAATGAAGATGCATATTACCATTCAGCGGCTGAAAGCTGACAATGAAGAAACATATTTTACATCTTGGCTCATCGGTTAGGAACCTGGCCACGTTCTTTTTATTGGACTGGAGGTGTGCTAGCGATTCAAAGCCATCATAAATCAACCTTGCTGGAGCCCCCTTGCTAACCTCCGGCGGCATCACGTCGCTTAGCCTAATGATTGAATCTCTTGCCGGAGAGTCGGATTTGACGACTCCTTTGTTAGCATCCTTTCGACATGACCTTCCAAATGTGCAACTCGTACAGGACGTACAGGCCAGGGATCCAATCGTGGTGTACCATTTCTGGCCTGATCATGAGTGAGTGTGCAAGGTTCATTGCAAAGTGGTTGATCATTCTCATGGCAAAATTCCGTCCCCCGGACGATCTCAAGAGCCACCTTCTCGTGCCTGTGCGTTGCAAACAAGCGGGCTCAAAAGCTTTTACTTAGCCTGGGCCTGTTGGCGGGAGCCTCAAAACTCGCAGTCAGAGAGCTGGCGATCCTATCCGAACCAGGAGTGCCACCGTTCAAAAACGCAAACTCGTTTGGACGAACCCAGGCTGTGTGTAGATGTCTTTCACTTTTAAAAGCCAGGACAGTGCCAGTGCTAGGGCACGGGCTTGGTGATGTTATATGATGTACCGTCATACATGTTTTGCATATACACCTCTACCATCTTGACTTTTTGCGCGCATGATGTGAGAGGATGCTCATCTGCTGATGCAGATCGAGCTGATGTGATTTGCTTGCCTTGGAGCGAGCAACTGCAAGAAGGTCTGAAAGAAGCAGGCTTGCACACAGCCAGCGTGTATGTCAAGAATTACAACCAACGGCAAGGCCTAGCAAAAAAAACACGATTTAGGTTGGAGCTGCTCAGCACAAAGGTCCGCCTAGCTTTGGCTGAGGGTTGCATCAGTTTGCCTCAGGAAGATGGCGTCTTCTGTCCCGGGTGCCTGCCTCGGAACCTCCGCTGTTGTCGTGGCCATCGCGGAAACGGGTCCCAAGAGATGAGTCATGAAAAATCAGAGGGCGCAGCTCCGAAAATCACCGCAAACCATCCCTAACATCAAGCCCAATGCGGAGGCTTACTGCAACCAGTGAGAGTTTCCACGTATGGGTGTGGGTCAAAATTAAACTAGCAGGGGACCGCAGGTTTTGGTCCATGTTGCCACTTACTAGGGTTCCATTTTGGGTAGCTATTTTTGACCCACTGCCATACCAGGCCCCCAACCTTAGCAGCTTTTGAGCACCGTCTTTTGGATCAGCTGGTAGGTTTGAGATTCGGAGACTCCCAAACGACCCGCTTTCTAAGCGCCTTGTTGCGCGAAAGCAAGCGCTCCACAAGTTCGCAAAGCCCGATATACGCCCCCAGCGTAAGCTCAGCAGTGCTTTTTGCCCCGAAACCACTAGAGAAAGCTATGGCTCGTGTTTGAGCCTGAGCACATCTGATACTCGTAGTTTTGACAATGCTCAGAACTTCAACGGTGGATTCTGAAGTAACGGCACGGGATTCACAAGGGCTGCATGGAAAGCAAACTGGCTTCAGGTAGGATGTCGCGGGGCAATCCCTTTGCATCAATCATTGCCTTGTGATTCACAAGTCCACACTTCTGGTCAATGGAGACGATATGCCTTCCCCGACAAGTTTGCCATTGTACCTTGATGGCTCGTTGTCTTTTGTCGTTCTTGAAACGATCCGCAAGGTCAAGGGCAGACTCGGCCTGTCTAGGAGAAATACTTTGCCAACCTCCTTGTTGATTCTGCTTCACATGCACATATCTTGGAGCGTGAGGGATGGCTTGTGGAGGTGATACTTAGCAGCGCGCTGCTTGCGCATACGAGAAGCTTGTTGAATAAGTCTTGTCCTACGATTGTTTCACGACCTTCGTGAAGCTCTGAAGCATGAACAAATATCTGACCAAGAGCTGATTTGTTGGCGAAAGCCAGCACATGCTACAAGCACTGCTTTCTTCGAAGGGAACTCACCCGAAATACTTAACACGCAGGCATCGTGCTCCCATGACACCCTCATCAACAATAGGGACACAGCCAACACTACTGGATGCCTGGCGCTACTTTGCTCTGAGTCAAGCCGAGTTTGGGCCGTTTCAACATGCGTGGTTTACCTATAAGGGCAGTAGCTGCAAGCCTGGAATCCGGCTCACATGGGGTATCTGTCATGCCCACAAAACAAGCAACACACCGGACAGGGATTGAGATATACAGGAGTCATTCAAGCGCCGTCAGGGCAGTTCCACATAGTTCACCAGCCCTATGGTGTTGTTTTGCTTCGCCCTAACGAGGCCCAGGCAAGCTCCACCTGATGCGAGTTTTTTAAGGATTCCTGGATGTTTGTAACAAATCAGCAGCGGCTTAGAAGCCAAGCTTGAAATCAGAATTGCACCTTGCTTCAAGCTCAGGCACGTGGCATCCCAGGTGGAGACATGATTCGCTTCAGCAAAAAGAACCCACGTCGCCAACCAGTTTCTTCAGAAAGTTCAACCCTAAGTCTCCACAACCAGTGGAATCGCATTTTTATTTCTGGTGAACCAATTTCAGAGTTCAACCCCTAAATCTCAACCACCAGAATCGCATTTTTCATGTCTGGCGCATCGAAGCAAAGCGCCTTGAGGTGAGGGAGGAGGCCCTGACCTCCAGGCTCGCCTGCTGCACCTTTTTTTGGGGCCGGTCCCTTGAAGAAGGAAAGACCTGCCCCTTCTTTAGTGGTTTTTAAAGGAAAACCACCAGGAACACCACCAGGAACACCACCAGGAACACCTTTTGCCATTTTTGGGGTCCCTGTAAAAAAGGTTACCCATTTGTTTGTTTGAGTGGCTTGCTGGCTGTATAAACCTGCATGACTGGCTTGGTCGTGTTTGATATGGGTACAGTGTGTCGATCGAACCTAGCCTGACAAGACAGTTGCTTTGTGTTTCATGTGCTTCGCCGCATACCTGTGAATGTTTGAGTATGCATGGTGGTTCGACAAGGTGAATGTGTTTGAGAGCAGGACGGTACGGTTGCTTTGGATTTAGCAGTGAGCAAGCAGCCAACAAAAATGCAGTAGTAACCGCATCTTTTGTCTATGTTAAATCACATGCTGCTGCTCGTTCAGAGCCAGTAGCTGGCTCTGAATGTTGGCGTTTGCGAAGCAATTGTGAAGCACAGACACTGCTGACAGTTGCGAGCAATCCTCTTGCAAGGTTGTTTTATGCTTGATGTTTACCTGAATGGTCTCGCACTGATCAGAACACATAAACGGCAACAGATGCTGCTTGCCGGGTTTGAGCAATGCTTGCCTCCGATGCTAGTTCGCTCCCTGCCCGTAACATTTAGCAGAATGTAGCTCTTCTAGTGAAGACTTGCCATCATACAGAAGGAGTGGATGGGAAGCTCCTCGCGGACGCTCGAGCAACTTCTAAGTTCCCACAGCATTCTGCAGAGATTCTTTGTGAAACTGAAACGAATACTCAGCTGTCAGCAGTGCATGCTATTGCCGTATGGATGTCTATGCAATGGGCAGTGGTCATGGATGACCCGGTGAAAGGAGTTCATCCCTTCTTCCCGGGTAGACCGATTTGCCATTCGAGCAGATGCACGAGCAAGCTTTAAGCAGCGGGTGTGGTGTACCTGTTCTCAGTAGTGATCAGGCAGAGATCGCACAGACCATCGAGAATCAGGTATCCTATGCTCGGGCCGAGCGCAGGGACGGTCTTATTTGAGAGTGTCCGGGTGATCTTCTTGGGGTTGGACCTACCCTGATGAGCATAGGACAAGACTCTTGGGGCCCATGTTGCCGAAGTCAAACCAGAGCGCATGTGACAGGCACTTGCTCCATCTCGTCTGGCCAAATCAGCCAATTGCTCGGGCCAAAGGATTGGGCTCCGTTTGCTCCCAGAGCATGTTGCCATGTGGACCAATGCGCAAACTTTCGCAGCCAGGTATTGCTTTCAAAATAGGGGCATGGGTCAAAATCCAAATCGTACCCCCAGTGAACATCCCAATCCCCACTGCAATAGGTTCTAAAATGGCCCCGAAATGGGATACCATTGGGATTGACACCCACAGGCATATCTAACATTTCTTGGCCGCTTGGAAAAGGTGTCAGGTCTTCACCCAGCTTCCTTCGCCCGGCTTCCGCAGCTTGACCGCCGCACCCCGCGAGCCATTTTGTCCTGAGAACAGTTCGGAGGCTGGAAGTTGCTAACCGGCCCAGTACAAATCCTCAACGCCTACTGGCCAGTGGCCGTTTTTCTTTTGCCAACAGAGAGTTGTTTGATTCAAGAAAAAGGCGCCGCATCATTGAGACGGCGATTTCCCCAAGTTTCATCCGCGCACTTTGCAACTTCAGCCGCTTTTAACGTTCCGCTGCTTTGTTTTCCCGCTGCACGCCTGGGCCTTAGCGTCTTCAGGCTTGGCTAAACGAGCAGTTCTGACGTGCTAGCTTGACTTCGCCCTGTTCTGTCGTTTTGGGCAAGCGCCCAGCACTGATTTAGCTTTGGCACCTTGGAGTTGTTGAGAAGCACATGGGTGCCGATTTCTGACTAGATGCGCTGGGCACAAACGGCCGAGTGCCAGTTCTGACACCAGAAAGCATGGGCAAATGTATAAAACAGCCGAGGGAACCCGTCATGGTTTTGTTCCATAGCCCGGATGTTTGCAAGGTCAGCCATGGGGCAGTCAGGAGGAAAGATGCCAGGCGCAGATAGATCGTCGATGCAGTACCAGGGTTTGGGGGAGCACAATTCGGAGGAACCTAACCAGGACATGAGGATAAGGCCACAATTTGGGCGGCGCAATCACTTCACACAACTTGCGCGTTCTCCGCGTCGATGTGTGGGAAAGGGATCACCCAGCTTCGCAAGAGGTGATGGCTTGAGGCCTGGCAAAGGCATCCAGGAGCCATGTCATGAGGTTTCCTGCGACTTCTATTGGCTCAAAGGATTTTGCCTTTGGCTTGTTTATCGGGCCAGTCAGGTAACACCCTTGACTCTTGGCATCAGTGACTTGTGGCATTCCGGCAGTCTCCCCCCAACCCTTCCGCGCGATTCCGCTCAAAGCCGATGCCATGACTGCCTTGGCTGAAATAGTATGGGTTTGTGGTTGTCTAGGGGACCCCCTCCCCCCCAAAAAGGGTTCCTTCTGGTTTCCCCTTTTAACCCACCCAACTAAAATACAACCCGAAAAAAGGACGAGCCGCCCCTCTGGTGCCGGAAAAAAAAAGAAAAAAGAAGGAACAAAAAACGAGGCCGCTCTTCAGTGGATCCGGATCCGGTCAGGCAACCTGCAGCTGGCCAAGGGCGAGCCGAGGCCCAAAGGCTGCTGCGAGTCGCCGAAGGGCGGTGAGGTCAACTTCACCATCGACGCGCCGGAACAGCCCAGAGCGATCTGCGATTTGGGTGTGGCTCAAAATTAAACAGGAGGGGCAAACCGCAGGTTTTGGTTCATGTTTCCACTTTCCAGGGTTCCATTTTGGTCAATACCCAGGAAACCCCCTCGTGAACATGAAAATAGGTGGCAGATGGAGGTTCATCCACCCCAAAATGGGATCGCCATAGGTTGTGCCCCATGGCCATTTTCTCGACCCAGGTTTCGAGAAATTTAGGTTTCGAGAAGTATGGCTCAGGGGGTTGTGCATAAGGCGCTTGGGTTTGCCTTCCAAGTCCAGAGAGTTCTCTTTCCATTCACAGTCATTTCATGTTTTTCTCCTGCCGTTTGACCTCGTGCACACAGCAAGCCACGGCTCAGGCCGGGACGGGGGTCTGTGTGGCTGTACCTGCTCCTGCCTGAAGGCCATGAAGGCTTGCTCGGTGCGCGCCGGTGACGCCCTGGCGAATTGGAGCTGCCTGTCCCGGGAGTTGTTATTGACGCCCCCCAATCTTCACGTATCTGGGGCTCGGGGGGTGCCGAAAGTAAGCATGGATGACAAAAGCATATCCTCTATTCTATTTGGAGCAGCCCTGCCCAGTGAATGATATGCTGCATTCTCGGTTTGGTGCTGGTACAGCATACTGGAGCGTGAGAAGATCACCTGTTCAAGCGAAGCGGTAACAAGGTTGAGTTTGTACTGGTGGTGCTGAAAGCCAGCTCGCCCACTAAACCGTTCCTGGGGACATCAGATCTTCACATTTGATGATTGATACCAGAAATCGTTGAAGATAGCCACTGGCAGTGATTCCTTTGGGTGGCTCCGGTGATTTTTCTTTTCGGCTCTGGCAGGTGCATCAACTCTTGAAGGAGTGGATTCTTCCGGTGGGGAGCTCTACGTACAGCAGGGCCCCTGGACCAGTCCTGGGTGAAGTGCTGGGACGGACGTGGCTGTGTCAAACAAAGGTTCCCCCCTCTGAACTGTCAAGGGATTCCGCAGATGCCTTGCACCCGAAAGAAGCAGATCAGCATTGGTTTGTGAGTTTGTGAGATATTGGCTGCCTGTCAGCCGGGCGACGTTGTTCACAAGTCATTGGCGAGATGTTCAAGCCAGCTTTGACCTTGACGCTCATCAGTGGTCGTATTTTGCTCAATTGTTAGTGTCATGTTCTGCTACCTGTCCCCACCTTCTCGAGGCTGGATCCATCCACCAACAAAACCGGAGGCTGGGGAGGAACAGGAGAGTGCGAAGCAGGTCGCCGTTCGTTCCCTCAATTCCTGGCTTACTTGAAAATTGGGAGCGAGTTATGCAGGCAGCCCCACTTTCCAACAGAAGCCAAGATGTGCCAAACTTTCCTCCGCTCTCAAGTTATGTTGGGACTTCATGCAGAAAACCTGGAGCCCTTGCCGTTTGGGTCCCTAATCCTGGCACAGACCTGAAGCTTTCAGTTGTTGCAAATGGAGTGAGTCTTGGTCCAAGCGGTCGAAGTGCTCATGTTTCAATTGGACGGCTTGCGTTCGTTGAATGTCCTCGGCCCCGGTTTGCACGGCTTCCTTGTCAGGTTGAATCAATGATGGTTCTGAGATGTGTGTCTGTGTGTGTCTGTGTATGTGCGTGCGCGCCATGGTTAAGAAACACAGTAACTTGACATTGCAAGTTGACAGGGTTATCGATGTTTCACTACCATCTTTTGCGTTTGCAAACAACAACCTCCCACGTTTTTTCCCGCACGAAGCTGTGAAGCAGCGTATCAGCGTCAAACTGATTGGTGGTTTGGACTGCTGATTTGGAGCTTTGGGTGATTTCCAATTTATTACCCTCTATCAGAACCAGGCGGTCAAATCCAAATCCAAATCACCAATCCAAACCACCGATTAAGGGCAAGCTGAGTGTAAGTCCTTGTCTTGGTTCCAAGTTGGTTTTTCCGGATTGCGGTACCAGAGTTTGGTCTTTCTACGATTGAGGATCCGGACGTTGGGATCCCTGCAAAAAACGTCTTGTGATGCACTTGGTCCCCGATGAACAGGAATTGTGCTTTGCTGAACAGGACACCGGGGAAGGGGCGAAGCTTCACTCTGAGTGGCTTCACACGAAACCAATGCGGATGAGGGAGTTTTGGATCAGTACCAAGTGTTTTTGTTTGTTGTTATTGTGTGTGTGTGTGCCTAGTGGCTCTTGCGCGCCACACATGCTCATCGTCCCCATGGACAGATACGTGGCACGTGAAGCTGACTTTGCCTGGCGGCTTCGACCCAAAGGGAGCGAAGTATATGTGGATACCGCCATGTTTATGCAGGCAGTTTGGAAGAGCTGCGTGCTGGTGTGAACCAGGCACATCCAGGTTGATGTCTTGACATAGCACTTTTGTGAATCATTTCGCTTCGCCGCCAGCCCGTAGTTAGTCTTCACAACATAGAGGCCACACACCTCAATCTGCCACGAAGCTATGACAGCGGGGCCTGACAAGCTGACAAGGGCAGTCTTTTTCAGCTTGACACGCGAAGCAGTGAATCTGCTCGACCTGTTTGGTGATTTTTGCACACTTCCAACTGAACGAGGCTCTTGAGCCGCGCCCATTCGCCCGCCATGCGCGGCGGTCGAATGGCTATGGGCAGGAGCTGTTTGGTGAGGTCTGAGGCAGTGGAACAAATGCAAGAGAACTTCAGCCTCGGCAAGACATAACCAGGGCACACTGGCAATGTTTCGGAGACTTTTTTAAAGGAACGCGGGAAAGCGAGTGTGTGGAAGTGCAAAGCTGGACAGGTGTTGTGCCTCGCTTCTTCCTTGAGACTGGACACGGCTGTTTGCTATTTTTCCAACCATTGGCAATTCAGTCTGGCAGTGGATTGCCCAAAGACCACTCGGCAGGGATTCTGATATCAGATACGGCCCTCGACCCGTGAACGAGGTCAACCTTGCCTCAACAAACCTCCAAGACCTGTAGCCCCTGAGCGCTTCTTTTGCAAAATAACAGTCCTGTGGAGTGAGGTTCCGTCTTGCGTTTGTCCTAGGCGCGTTTGTGAGTTTGCTGTTGGGCTCTTCCGAGGCACCAAAAGCCTTCCTTGGCACGTGGCCGCTTGTGGCCCGGCCATGAATGCAATGCGGGACAATAAGTGGGTCGGGACCCCGAGCATAGGTGTCCTTTGGTAGACAAATAGATGGCCCCTGTTTTACCTGGTGGTTTAATCATCTACCAGGGCCATCTACTTGCCCCAAAAGAACACCTATGCGCTTGAGTCTCTGTAGAATCCTTTGGCGCAGTGAAATCCATTATTGAACGCCCACCCTGCACGCAGCTCTTGCATGGTCTTGCAGGGCCCCTTACATTCCTTTTTTTTGGCTAGCTTCATCTTCTGCGTCAGCCGTTTACAAGTGCATGTCATTTCATTTTCTTGGGGTGATGTTCAAGGTGGATGAACGAAGTTTAAGGTGGGTTTCATTACAACACTTTTCTTCAAGCCGTTTTTCAACAAAGCCCAATGTTTGTTTCTTTGACCAAACAAATCAGGAACAACAACACTGAATGATTTTTTTTTAGGGTGGCACATGTGTCCATCTTCTTCGCAGGACCTTCGGGGGCGAAGACCTGGGCTTCCGTGAGGAGCTTCTGCCGCCCCCCACGCCCAACTCACAGAGGACGGCGCTTGTTTCGTGTCTTTTTCGGTTTTCGCCGCAAGCCCGTGGATGTGGATGTGGGAAATTAGGGTCCAATCTGAAGACAGCAGGGTTTTGGGACCGCATTTTGTTTTTGGGGCTTCGGCGGTTTTTTCAGTCAGCCGGGGTGGATGTAGGTAGGGTCCAATCTGGCTGCGGTTGTGGGATCCCATTTTGGGGTAGGTGATTTTTTTTGAGCCATGGCCATGTGACGACAGCGCCAGGGATTTTGGACCGCAGGTTTTTTGGGGGGTTCGGCGTTTTTTCGCTCAGAGCGGGGGGCCATTGGTATGGCTCCAAGGTAAAGCCACCGAGATGTGGGCCGCGGGTTTTGGCAAGCACGTTTTCATAGGGCATCCCCAAAAAAGGAAACTAGTCTTCCAAAATCCTCTTGTCAACTGTCAGCTTCTATGATTGGTTGGAGGAAGGGTACTGGATAGCAGGAGATAGTTTGTTCGTGACCGATACCATGCAATGGTTTTCGAACAATCGCGGCTGGACTGGTCATTCTTGTGAGGGAGACACAGCTGAGTCTTCTTTTGCCGTTCTTGGAAAACAAAGTGTTTTTTTGTTGTAGATGACGGTAAATTCATGAAATATATACTGAGTTACGGCTTGAACAGAATGAGATGAGCCCATTGCCTAAGTGTTCTTCACCCGACCGAGGTTGCGAAAGGTGCCGCTGGGCGATCAAGGTATGGTTAGTTTTGTTATGTTTTGCATAATTGATCATTGATCTATAATCAATATGAATTCTGAAGGGATTGCGGTCCAACAGGAGTAGTCAGGCTTCTTGAGGCGATTGTTCCAGCATGCTCGTGTTGGTTGACTCTTTTGATTGGGTCTGACCTCCACATGCGTAAGGTGGCGTAAGCAGATGTTGACTGAACACGGCGTGTAAGCATGGCGTGAGCTTTTTCAAGATATCAACAGTTGTTTATTTCCACGTGCTTTGAACTTGATAAGAATAAGACTACGCAGCTTGTTGAGACAGCATCTTGTCGAACAGATTGGACAACAAGTTGTTCCCTGTGTGGCAGGCTATGGTGACGATCTCCTTAGCTCCTCTCGGTAGTCATGCAGTTCACAGCCAACATAATTCCGCAGACAGTGTCTGCATTCGGCGCGTAAGGCACGCGTAAAAGGCGCTGGTCTTGGAATTGTTTCGGCGCAGCCCTTGCCTGCTTGTATGTACTTCGTGTATTGCACTTGCACTTAACATTTGCGATTTTCGAGCTTGAGCTGCAGAAGGGCGTTTTGCACGTTACACTTGAAAAGATCCGCCGCCGCGCAAGTCGCCTTTCCTAGTCATGGCAGGCAGTGTTCCAGGCGTAAGGGTTGCGCCAGGCCTACTTCACGCCAAGTGCCGCGTAAGCTGAGACATGGGTTGCGAAGGCAAACAAAGTGGCGTAAGGAATATGATACGACAAAGCGAATCATGACGCGTATTGGACATGGTTCATTTGGGATGGTGCCTCTTTCGAGCGGGCAGCGAGTTACCAGATCGTTGCAATTAATCCACAAACTCTGCCCCAAACCTTGAGGTAAGCAGACTGGGCCGTCCCTTGGTACGATGCGAGTAGTTGGACGTATATTATATGCAATGGGAACCCCCCGCGAATTTCTGGCGGGAACACCAAGGGAGGCCATCCGTATGCTTTGTTCGCGACACGCCCTCTTTGGCTTTTTCAAAATCCTTCAAACTTTGAGCCATTCAAAATGTGCATTTGGGTGAGAGAACGATCTCGGGCTATATCTGGAGGCCGCCCGACATCAGCTGGGTCATGAGAAACCGCTCACCTTTACACAGGAGCAACGCAGAGGGCCCTCGCTGCTTTGTTGGCGCGCGGAGCTTATTGCAATTAATTGTGATTCTCTTGAGATGACAAGGTGGACAAATGACAAATTCAGATGCCGATTCCTCTAGCAGAGCGGTCACCCAAAACTGGGCGGGGTTCTCTGACTGCTTGCTTTACCCAGAGTGCCTCCAGTGTGTCGAAGATAATCTTGGAGATGTTTTGGAGCTTAGGGAGCTGATCGCAATGGATCTTCCCAAGGTGTGCTCATTCCAGAACCAGGGGAAGAATGGGGAAAACCAGGCGATGGCGGTATCATGAGAGAGGGGGCGGGGGGCAAGCGCGGAACAGCCGCAAGTCTCGCTTGGCTGAACGTCTTAGGATGAATCCAGACCTTTGTAATCAGAGGAACCCCGTAAAACCGATAGTTTCCTTGCTAGGGAAGCCATCCCTGATAAGTACGGCTCTCCGGATTATTCCGCAGCGGACATTGTCCAATCTTCATGTACAGATGGACTCCCAAGGGTTAATGATGATGTAGTGTGAGGTCATGGCGTTAAACACCGGCCGGGTCTCAGGTCAAGTGACATGTCAAGTAGGGTTCGGTGCATACCAATGTGCTGGGCTTTGTGATCCTCGAGAAATCACAAGATCTCCCAGCCAGGCCCCGTTTTCTGTTCTTAAACTTGTTTCAGGCAACGCGTCAAGTTGGTGGTTTGGATTTCTGGTTTGGATTTGGATTTGAACCCCTTCTTCTTGTAGACGGTGAATGGGAGACACCCCCGCACCACCAAACCACCAATCCAAACCACCAATTTGAGGGAAGCTGATGTTTGTCTGTAGTTTGCTTGCTGGCGGCTGGCGACGTTGTGTTGCCAACCTGGGTTTACCTTCTCATTCGCGGTTGATCAAAGGGAGGCTTCCGGTTTTCGGTCAGAAGCATGCTCATTTGTTTAGGGGTGAGGAGGGGGGCGGGGTCTGAGGTTCACTTCAAAGAGGTGTGGAAAGTGCGTTTGCCCTGCGGGATTGGCAGCCTGACTCCCAACACTCTCGCAGCCTACGCGTGGCAGCCTACTGCCGTTCCCTCCATTAACTTGGAATCCTCCAAGTTGTAGACTGTCTAAGTCTTGGTTTCAACGGCCACACGCAATTTTGAGACAAGGGCGCCAATCAAAATGCAACCAAGCCCATTGACAGGATTCCTTCATAGCCACGGAGAACGGCACCAAGAGCCTCGTGGCGGTTCTGGACGGCCACGGTGAGCAAGGCAGGAATTGAATCGATTCGATGTAGCTGGCTGGCTGTGTTAGGGAGACCTGTGCATGTGTGCGTGTATCCGAGGGTGTGTACCCAGTAGAAGGTCGGTTTAGATTTAATGTGAAACCAAGAGGACAACGGCTGCTTTTCGGGTCCCTCCATTTTGACACCCATATATCCGTGTTCGCGAGTCGATCTGAGCCCATCAGTGCGATGTGTACTTGTGTGGACATGTCAAGAACCTATGGCTCTGAAGAGTCGCCTCGGGGGTGTGATCACTGGTGGATCTGGTAGCGCAGCAGCGTTCTGCCGTTTTTTGGTCCCGAGGCAAGCGAGTTTCAGAATATGCCCGCATACAACTGGCAAAGAACCTGTATGCCAGCAAGGCGGGGTAGTTCTGACTTTGCAGCTTTGCGCACTACCAAGGCTGGTGCATTGGGTGACATGTCTCTCTGTGTGTGTGTGTGTGTTTGTTCGGAAGCAGTGCTAGGCTGCACTTGAGCGCAGCGATATTTGGGTATGGGTCAAAATAAGACCACCAGGAATTGGACTGCAGGTTTTAGTC